CACTTGTGTCAGCCGGGCTTTCTATTTTGAACAGCTAAAAATTAACAAAAATCAATGAAGAAGAAATGACCACATAGCTTTTTGCGTAGGATTCTTCGACGAGCGGATTTTTTTTCCCAATCTAGCGGGAAGTGCCCATCGCATGTACATTGCCCACAGTCCATGCATTACATGCTTATCCCTTTCCGCCTCTCATCGCTAATGTTCCCACCACATCCGCTGTATGACCTTTGAAAAAAAATAAGTGCTGCTGAGAAATTCGTAATGGATTTTGTGACCTTTTGGTGGGCTGTCCAAAAGTTTGGACTGTTTTACCTTTTGTGAACAATTTTCGATTAATTTCTGACAAAAGCAACGAAAGGTACTGTACACCAACCGAGATGACCTGTTCCCTGTTTTCTTGCGATTTCAAGATCCTTTATAGCTTAAAAACGACATCTTTTGAACGAAAGAAATAGCAACCGCTCCACATTTGACGGGGCCTGATCAGCTGAGTGGGAAGAAGTGTCCCCTTCCAGAGTGAATTTCCGCTGGAAACGCAGCTAACGAGTTAGTTCCAGCTAACAAATTAGTTCTTCTGTCAATCTCAAGTGTATATATAGTCGATCTTCGACTTTCTTGTAATTTTGGCATGAAGATAATAGATATAGTGTGCCCTCAAGATTTGACCAGATTGCTTCTAGCTTCAAAAGACTTCACGAGTTTCACCAGAGTGGGACCTGTAAACCGGACGCCGGCACTTCTGACAATTGAAAGAAATAACCTCAAAGCTATTATAAGAACTATTTTGAAGCTCTCGATACATGGGAGAAAGTAATCGGTACTTGGATTCAACTCCACTAACGGGCTGCTTGTTTCTAGCCAAGACGACTGATATGCAAATAAATTAATTGAATATTCTGAATTGAACATTGAACACTATAGAGGTCATCGTGAACGAACGGTGAGCCATCACCTTTTCCTCCAGTACCTCCTTTCGGACCACGCATCCCCTTTCCCACACACTGTTGGAAACAGTGCCTCATTACCGCGTGTAAGGAAAAAATTCTCAATCAAACTCACTATTTTGCAGAATGAAAACCGCTCTCATCTTGCTCGCAGCCGTCGCAGCTTCCGTCGCTGCTAGCGAAAGCAAAAGCTCCAGATACACTTTTCATCAAAGAGACTGATATCTGCCGTTCTTGACGGACGAGTTGAGCGCGACGACATCCTTTTTCGCAGAAATCTCACACTCGCTCAGGAACAGGAGAAAATCGCTGCTTGGGCAAAAAAGTATAATCGCACGGTACGTTAAGCTCCCTCTGTTTACCGTGGCAACATAACTTTCAGGAATGTTTCTCCTTTCCAGGAGCAGGTGAAGAAATTCAGAGCCGAAAAGGATGCAAGCTTCAAACAGCTTGAGCAGCGGATCGCCAAAGTGCTTGAATCTTTACCAGCCACCTTCCAGGAGTACCTGAAAATCCTGAAAAGTGCAGACAAAACCATGGCGGAGATAATGAAAGCAGACGAAGCCGTGGCGGAGATAAAGAAAGAAGTGAAAAATCTGTACAGCAAGAATACGAAGGTTACGAAAATTGTATTTCCTCGTCCATTGTGAAGAGTTGAATTACTCGAATGAGTCGTGACAATGCCTTTCGCAGGTGTTCTCGGTGCTGGATAGAGTTCTGTTCAGCTTTGTTGACGATCCGCGCACTCGTCCCTTACATTATTATGACTCATACCATTATATACATCATCTAAAGCAGCACTTGGCAGCTCGCACTGGAAAGACCAAGGCTTCGGGTAAGAAATTATTGAAGAATATTATCCGTCAGAGACCGCTAAGATAAGCGCTCTAGCAGCTCTCACTCGGGTAATACTCCTAAATAGCTAATCTAGTAGTGATTGTTAGAGCTTACAGTGTTAGCTTGACAGCTCCCCGTGTTATCTATGTGTTTGAGGACAAACTATACTCACCTCCGTGGGACCTAGTCGTGTCATAGGTAAGGTAATACGTCCACATCTTGTAATTGTTTATTACACACGCTGTGGCGCTCAATACAATCAACACAAAACAAACTAATAAACAAACAAGAAACAAAGCAACACTGACCTTAATGCCGTTTGACCAGAACCGCGATAGAGACCATGAACAAAAGTGAAAGAAAAATAGTGATTAATTCACTTTCGCTATTTAATATTATTACTAAAGCATTTCGTTTGCTGGTGTTCATTCCTAAACAGACTAGCCTATCGGTCCCAGTTGCGAAGAAGTGATGCCTGATATTACTCTTAGTTCTTCGAGCAGTCAGCTTTCTCAAACTACCCCTGGTGACTGATTCTCTGGCAAATGAGTGCAGGGAATAACATCAGTGTGACAGCATAGATAATAAAGCATAATTATGTCATGTGAGTTAGAGTCTCAATAATAGGTTTTAGGTCCCGCACCACGCTGGTACTTAATGCCTATTGTTCTCGAGCAGACCT